TCATATTTTTGACCGTTGTTGTGTCCCAAGGTCACGTGATCCTTTTTTGCGACCACCTGACAAGCAAAGTCAATGGGGGAAGCCAGATTCACTTAACAATCAGGTTACCAACTTATCAACTGCTGTGATTCGCTTAACAACTGAGGCAAGAAAGGTCGTAAAATGGGGCAAAACCCACTTAAGAAACGTTTCACTTAAGAACATATTGGGCTCAATGATGGTCGTAAATCGAGGAGTACCTGTATACATTTACACAGCTGCAAAGCTAAGAGGCAATGAAGAGTTACCTCAGGGAGTAGTGTGGGGTTGACTTGCCAAATTTTGAAAAATAAAGGGGGGGGGGACCAGTGGTGAAATCAAATTTTTTTTACTACCGGTTCTGTGAGCATGGCTTGGTGGGCATGGTGTGGCTTGGTGGGCGTGGCAGGGGAAGGATACTGCAAAATCTCCATTCCCACCCCACTCTAGGGGAAGGATACTACAAAATCCCCATTCCCTCCCCACTCCTGGGGGAAGGATACTGCAAAATCCCCATTCCCTCCCCACTCTGGGGCCAGCCAGAGGTGGTATTTGCTGGTTCTCCGAACTACTCAAAATTTCCGCTACCGGTTCTACAAACTGCTCAAAATTTCCACTACTGGTTCTCCAGAACCTGTCAGAACCTGCTGGATTTCACCCCTGGGGGGAGCCCCATAGCAGTACATCGAGTTTGCCAGTCCAGAAGCTCAAAGCTTGCTCCATTGCTTCTTGGTTAAGAGGACTGAAGGGGGACTTGGCCCCGCAGGAAAAGCCATTACTCAGCAGTTTGGGCAGGGTGGAGGAACAGGGCGGGGTGGGGGGGTGGGGGTTCTTGTCCCACAAGCCACCAAGCAGCTGCAGCTTTGCTAACACAGCTGTTTGTGCCAAGAGCTGCCTGCATGGATTGGGTGGAGAAGGAAGGCCGGGGAAGAGAAGATTTGAGCAGGTGTGTCTGGATGGTGGAGCTCCACCTTGTCTGAGAAACTTCCCATCAAGGTAACAGCCATGGGTGCCTTTGAAAGTCTCACCAACACCCATATCCCATTCCCAAGACATTCCAGGTGTGTTTCTGATCCACCCAGTAGAGGTTACCTGGCAGATCCCATCAGGCCGGTCAAAGCTAATATTTATGGAGGGTTTCTTAAGGCAATAGTCATTTTCCTTGCCGTTTTCGGTTCAGAGCAGAATTACGTGGCCTTATTTGGAATTGTTTCTCGGCGCTTTCATGTGATAATGGTCGGGGAACTCAACACTTTCTCGCCCCAGAGCCACTAATTACACATCATGCGAAACACATGACTAATCGTGACGTGTTACAGAGATGAGACAGGCATCAAAAGGCATTGAACCAGTCCTTTGTGCAGCGATAGGTTTCCCCCGATTAGGAATGGCTGGTCTTGCACGCTTGCTAAAAGGTAAAGAAGGAATAGCATAAAAAAAAAAAAAGACAAGCTAGGGAGGAACCTCTGAAAGGGTGGAACTGTGAGAGATTAAGAGCTTCCCGTGCCAAGATAAGCATTACAATTAATCTGTTTCTGGGTGTTGGATCTTAGAAACCTGTTTCCGTGCACCCAAATTGTCCCTATCCAAATCTCCCGTATTCAGCATCCTTTTGTTATCTGCAGGTTGGCTAGCAAAGGAGAAGCATGGGGATTTCCCCCCCCCCTTCTCCATAGACCCAGAGTCATAGCCGGCTTCCCTCGAGATGACCCAGGAAACGTCTGCCTTCAGACATTCTTTTCACCGACCTAAGTCATGCCTTTCCCTTTGCTGTTGGGTGGAACGTGTCTTGACTTTGCCAGTAGCTCGCTAATGCCTTGCCCACCCCAGCTGCGGCTGAACCCAGTGCCTGCCCGGCAGGCTGCAACAGAACATGACGGGTGTGAAAAAGAAAGAAAGAGAAAGCAAACTAGAGCCTCAGGCCTACGAGGGCTCAGCCCTGCCCCACCTCACTGCTGAAGCTGCACTGAAGTTGCTGAAGGCTGGCAGAGCGGCAGCTGTGAGACGGGCCTGCCTACTGGTCAGCCAGGTGCATTGCGAGGAAACAGATGTGTCGCCCGAGACAAAGGCGCAAGGCTCACCCAATGGAAGTGGGCAGGCAAGAGGAGGCAATCAATGGCAGCGTTTTCAGGAGCCTGGACAGGAAAGGTGAGCTGAAGGACTGACTCTCCTGTCCTTCTAGGCAGCATCTAATCCTCCAGGATTAGAGACCCTCATTCTTCTAAGGATGCCTCAGGGACTGTATTTAAGGGCTGCCACCCTTCAGTCGGCATCCATAGCTAAGTATGGCTTATTATGGAGTCCTTCACAATCATGTCCATGCCGGGAACCTGGATCGTCTTAAAGAAACTTTGGCTAAGTCTACTCTAAGATCATGCCAGAAACTATGCAAGGTATCATAGCAGGACTGCCAGAGGATCAGTTCAGCCAGTAGCCCAGAATATCAGTGCTGGGTAGTGCTGAGAAGAGAAAAGAAGAGAAAAAGAAGAGAAAAATCCCAGAGAGAGAGAGAGAGAGAATCAAGACAAGAAACTGTCTCAATTTTCTCTCTCTCTCTCTCTCCCTCCCTCCCTCTCTCTCCCCCCTCCCCTTCCGTCTCCCTCTGCCTTCCCTTTCTCCTGTCTCTCCCCACCTCCCTCCCTCTTTCTCTCTCTCTTTGTCTCCCTCCCTCCCTCTTTGTCTCTCCCCCTCTGTATCTCTCTTTCTGTCTCCCTGTCTCCCTCTCCCTTTTTCTCCCTCCCCTCCATCTCCCTCCCTTTTGTCTCTTCCCCTCCCCCTCTGTTTCCCTCCCTCCCTCCCTCTTTCTCTCTCTCTCTTTTTGTCTCCCTCCCCGGCTCCCTCCCTCCCTCTTTGTCTCTCCCCCTGTGTATCTCTCTTTCTGTCTCCCTCTCCCTTTTTCTCCCTCCCCTCCCTCTATCTTCCTCCCTTTCTGTCTCTTCCCCTCCCCCCTGTTTCCGTTCCCTCCCTCCCTCTTTCTTTCTCTCTCTCCCTCTCTCTCTCCCCCTCCATCCCTATTCAGGATAACTCGCAATAACACTGAGACTGTGGGAACAAGCTTAAGGCCATCTTTTTCCACCATCAAAGAAGATACACTCAGTTAACATCTTGCCTATTTCTTGCATTAAGAGCAACCCCTTGTGGCTCTGATGGAATAGTTCTTAATGGGGAAATATAGTGCAGAAGAACGGTTTTTAGTTGCCCTGCTGATGTATCCGCAGCACCTCATGGCGGCAACTGGAAAAAAAACGATCAGGTCTACCTTCTCTTTGCCTGGTGGCCCATTTTAGCCATCATCTTAAGACCCAGATTCCTGGTACAGATCTGAGAGATCCCCCAGAAGCATAGCGGACACAAAGCACACAGCCTCAGAAAGCGAAGCTGTTCGAGCCAGAATGCAAAGCAAGTATTTTAGTGGATCACAGCCACGTTCCTTAGCAACACAAAGCAAGAACACTGGTCGAAAGAACATACTGTAATTTCATCTATTTCTTTGCATTCAGTAACATTCATCCCACACTTCTTCCCAGTGAAACACAAAACTTTCTTTTTCCGCATATATCAGCTATTTTCCAGTCTTCCCAACCTAGTACACTCAATGTCTAGATTCTAGGCATCAAAGCCTGGGCATAACCAGACTGAGAAAGGTTGCTGAATGTGCTAGAATATTCTTGCTGTTTTGATGGATGCCTGCAGGAGCAATATTCTCACCAGAGGAGAGCCATCCTGTAAATGTAGATGTAACTCGGTCATGATCGCCTGTAAGTTTATTGCATTTCATCATAGATTTATTTGATTTCATATTTGTTTTCCTGCTTGATCACCATACCTTTCAGGGTGGAGAACTGCACTGTGTGCAGGTAAATTCTAGGAGGGGGGGGGATCAGTTATCCTTATGGAGCATCTTCCTTCGCTCATGAGCATATACAAAAAGATATTTGTCATAAAATCCACCTTGCATTGCTGAGCTGGTAAATATACTGCTCAAAAAAATAAAGGGAACACAAGCAGAAGACATCTGAGATCTGAATGAATGAAACAGCCTTATTAAATACTTTGTTCTTTACATACAGTAGTTTATATACTGCTCAAACAACTAAAGGGAACACAAAACTACTGTATGTAACGAACAAAGTATTTAATAAGGCTATTTCATTCATTCAGATTTTGGATGTCTTCTGCTTGTGTTCCCTTTATTTTTTTGAGCAGTGTATATCTCCTCACCATTTCTATCCTTCCTGAAGTGTTTTGCTATTTCTTGCCAGCCAAACAGATTTCTTCCTAGTGATTATCCCTTCATCTTCCAAATGGTGCATCTTCCTGATGGGCCAGTGACATGGACTACAGATCCATAACTTTGAACTGGTGTTGGGGCCCTCAGTCAGTGCTGTAGTAGATTCCTACTACCTCAAGGGCTGGGATTCTAGACACTTTCACTACCTACCTTCCCTCCTTTGAACATCTTTCAAAAGAGATAATGAAGCAAGGAGGGAAGAATTCTATTAAAGTACTCGATGAGGTTTGGATCTTTTAAAAAAACAACCATAAAAATATCTGCAGAATTACAGATTAGAATCAAAGCAATTTAAATTCCCTTTCATGATAAAATGCCAAGAGCACCAATTTTCATAAGCTATAGTTGCACAAACAAGACATAACACCAGAAGGTGTTTCTTCCTTCTGTCAATTTGGTATAAATTACATGCAGTTCTATCCTGTAAGCTGCTTCACTGCAATGATAGAATGCGTGTTTCATTATTTAAAAGCACGGTGTTTCTATTACATTCTTTCTTTTATAACTCTATTTGAGCTTGATATTTGTAATTCTCCTCTCTATATCTGTTAGCATACCTGTCTCCTTAGATGGCACTTCATATAAGTAAATGTGTGTAATAATTACCCAGTTTGTGCTTTAGTAACACTTGTTAACCTTTAAAGAATGACATACTGTAGGACTTAAGTACCCTACCAAGAAAAATTACAAATGTTTTAGAGCTATTTTATTTAGAAATAAATGGCAAGGAGGGACATGGTGCTACACAAACTATGCTTCATGGGAAGAAAGTAATTCAAATTACGGTATTTTCTTTTTCTTGCAAAATGAGAATCTAGGGATGTTCAGCAGCAGTGAAAAATCTGAGATGGATTAAAGAAATGCTTCTTCACATCTGTGCATAAAATCAGTGGGTCTAACAATGGCAGCAATTTAGGTTTTAAACAAATTATACCAATCCAGCAGAGTGAACACTTCACATTCTACTACACGTGTAGGAAGAGGTTACATACCAATGTGGACTTTTTAAATGAATGTTTTTTGAACTTGGACACTTTGATGTGTTGACTTCAACTCACTATTGGTGTGGCACTATCTTGAAAAGTTAATGCCTTGACTTTGCCAGTAGCTGTTGACTTCCAAGTTTCCACCAACGTGGAAAACATGGCAATAACCATGGGTATTCGATGTTTTTGGCCTGATTCAGTCTGGGTGTTTTACACTGAAGTCTTAAAACATCTGCAAATACTGTTTTTCTCTTCTGCTCCATATACTGCAGAGAGGGAATGCCACACTGATCCAAGCTTGTCTGTCTGTATAAAGTATCCTACAAATGCACCAAAGTTGGAAAAAGAAAGTTCAAAAACTTATTTATTTAGCATTCCTCTCTCCAAAATCCAAAATCTTTGGCAGCACCAAAAAAAAGCCTCAAAAGATACCCTTCTCAACAATATTCTTCTCAACAAAGACTCTTCCCATCCTGCTTACAATCTTTCTGGACTGTTGCCTTCTGGCAGAAGATACAGAACAATTAAAATTTGGACCACACTTTTTCTGAATAGTTTTTATCCCAGAGCTATAACTGCACTCAACAATGAACTAAGGGGCCACTGTCAGTGAGCGGTTGGACAGTATTACTTGGTCTGTTGTGTGGATGTTTGGGTGGTTTAGGGGTGGGGAATTTGTGGTGAGTGGGGGTGTGTTTGGGGATTGTTATGTGTGTTGGACCTGGTCTTTGGGTGTTAAGTGAATTTCGTTGTATGGGTATACTGTGTATACATGTACAATGACAATAAAGCTGTTGTTGTTGTTATTATTATTATTATTCAGATTCCATGCTTTTCCTCAGTATCACAATTCAAAGTGGCCAGAAGCAGATCACACCACCAAACAGATCACAAAGAACGTGATCTGTGACAAGACAGAGCAGCCTTTCCCGACAAGGCCCTTTGAGATGATGGCCAAGGCATATCATTGGCAAGAGGCCCTCCCCCCAAAAACATTCGGAAGGCACCCAAATTGTGGAATGGTAGCAGAGAGAATTATCAAAAGCTTCTCAGCGAAATAAAGCAGGATAACGCTCTGAAGGAGACACATTAGGCCACAACTTTGCTAGCACTGAATAGTCATCTCTGGCAACTAACAGGTGCCAGATCGTATCACCTTGTCAACTGCTCTTTGGTCATCAGCTGTACAAGTTTCTTAACAGAAACATCTGGCTCCTCATTACATCACGATTAGAAGGAACGCAGTGATGGTGGCCTGTTCATTCCTGCACCAAGCCCAGGAATACCTCAGAGGGAGCAGAAGCAACCCCCTCCCCCTCTGCTGCTCTTCCTGAGAGACCATTTTGGGCAGGCCGATCTATTCTTCTTCACTGACTGCTGTAACTGGCATGTTCAATGTCTGAAGTTTCCTCCTCCACCGTTTTCTCCTGTGGCTGCACATACTTCTCCTGGACTGCCAGGGTCCTGATGAGTGAGAGTTAAGGAGAAAGGAAGCCCAAAAGCATTAAAGAAAGCCGAGCTGGTCCATCTGCTTCTGTTGACTGCAGGAGAAACATACAGGTAGTTCTCAATTTACAACCTTTTATTTCATGACCGTTCAAAGTTACAGCGGTACTGAAAAAAAGTGATTTATGACCATTTTTCACACTTATGACCATTGCAGCATCTCCAGGTTCACGTGACCTTGGCAATTGAGTCCTATTTATGGACGGCTGCACAGTGTCCTGGGGTTGCATGATCATCTTTTTGTGACCTTGTGACAAGCAGAGTCAACGGGGAAGCCAGATTCGCCTAACAACCGTGTTACTAACTTAACAACTGCAGTGATTCTCTTAACAACTGGGCCAAGAAAGGTCATAAAAACAGGGCAAAATTCACTTAACCAATGTCTCACTTAGCAACATAAACTTTGGCCTCAATTGTGCTCGTAAATCGAGGACTACTTGCACTATCCAAAATGGCGGATGGGATAAAAAGGAATCATTTATTCCATGGAGCAAAAGGGCCAGGCGTGCAGCACACAAAATAATCCTCCCATTGCGACCACTGGTCTAAAATGCTCTATAAATGACATCATCACAATAAGCAGATTTCCCAAACCTCTGCATTTCCTAAAGCACAGAAGTACCAAAGAGGAAGGAGAGCAAGGAGAAAGGATACGATGTAAATTGAAAATCAGCTCCCATCGCTGCAGACATCAAGACGTTGAGGTTTCTGTGTTCAGAGTCCCCAAAACAGTAACCATTCGCTTTGTCCACTGCCTGCATCACGCACCGCATACTTTCCTTGTCCTGAAACATGGAACCATTAGAAACATGTCACGCCCAAATTGATTGCTCTGCCGTATTTCATCCTGTTACTCACTGGCCTGATTACTTGGCAGGCAAGTCTCAGCAACAGATTAACTTTTTTTTTTTTTTAATAAAATGAATCCTCTGAGCAATCTTACTTTCAAATCTGAAAGTTTTCTTTAGGAAGAACAGATTGCAAAAGAGTGTCCATATACGCAATCACATTGCCATGAGATTACAGTTATCAAATGCTAGAATAAACAAATCATCAGCCAGTTTATATTATCATTCTATTAACTTCAAACTATTCTCCATTTCTTAAACATTCTGTTCCATAGGTAAAGGTAAAGGTTCCCCCCGCACATATGTGCTAGTCGTTCCCAACTCTAGGGGGCGGTGCTCATCTCCATTTCAAAGCCGAAGCGCCAGCGCTGTTCGAAGACATCTCTGTGGTCATGTGGCCGGCATGACTCAACCTCAAAGGCGCACGGAACGCTGTTACCTTCCCACCAAAGGTGGGCCCAATTTTTCTACTTGCATTTTTTACGTGCTTTCGAACTGCTAGGTTGGCAGAAGCTGGGACAAGTAACGGGAGCTCACCCCATTTCGCGACACTAGGGATTCGAACCGCTGAACTGCCAACCTTTTGATTGACAAGCTTAGCATCTTAGCCATTGAGCCACCGTGTCCCTATTCTGTTCCATAACAGCATTTAGTCAGATGCACACCCACTGGGCACAGACCTTTTCAACTGTGTTTTGACCAGTTGTGAAGTACTGTCCTGGCAACTGGTCAGTTTCAGAATTCGTTGCCTGCATTTGTATATTGTTTTACCTCTTAATTTCATTCCCCCTGCACTAACAGGCGCATGCCACACTTGTCTCAAGCATAGTAATTTGCAGCTCAAGTGTAGGTAAAAATGGTGGAAGGAAATTGATGGGCACTACCAAAGCTTCATCTATTCCGCTCCTTGATTTGCTTACCTGGACATTGAGAGGAACAAAAGAGACCAAACTGTAGTCTTCAATCACCCCCACCAGCTTCTTGTTCAGGCGCTGGTAGTTCTTGAAGAATGGATCTAAGGCCAAATGATCCACCAAGTAGGACAGATCAAGAACTTCTGTGTAATAATCTAGATTAAATGCTGTAAGGCAAGTGAAAGGGGGAAGGAAAGCTTCAGTAAATTCAAAGAATAAGGAACAAGCTAATCTGGAATATTTCTTAGCAGGGTCTTTTTTTCTGGAATGCAAAACGCTCCAGTGACTGAATTGTTGCAATTAAAAGAGGAAGAGACAGTTTGGTGTAGTGGTTATGGCTAGTTCCTGACTTGGGTATAAAGCCAATTGGGTGATTTTGGGCCAATCGATTTTCTTTTAGCCCCAGGAAGGAGACAATGGCAAAGCACTGCTGAAAAACCTTGCCAAAAAAATTGCAGGGCCTTGTCCAGGCAGCCTTTGAGAATAGTTAGCCCTGCTTTCAAAACAAGTATATTTCTGCTATAAAGGCTTGACTTATTTGTACTACTCCAGTCTGAGTAGTAATTTATCTAGGCCAGGGGTCTGCAACCTTAAGCACTCAAAGAGCCATTTGGACCCATTTCCCACAGAAAACACCAGGAGCCAAAAAAACCTGGGTGGGCGTGGCAAACTCGATGTCACTCACTTCCACCAGTCACATGACACCCCCCCTAGCCACTCCTACCCAGCCAGTCATTAGGGCAGAGAACCAGATGTTAAAAAACACTGGGAACCACAAAACCCTTTTAACATCTCTCTGTCCCCTCCCTCCCTCCCTCCCTCTCTCTCCCCCTCTCTCTGTATCTCTCTATGTCTCTGCCCTGGATGCTTCTCCATCCCCCGCTATCGCCCTTACCTTCTCAGGCCAGGCGAGGAGGGACTGTGAGGGGAGGGCGAGGGGCGGGGCCAGCCAGTGGTGGGTTTGCCCAACGGAGCCACAGCAGAGGGCCCAAAGAGCCGCATGTGGCTCCAGAGCCGCAGATTGCTGACCCCTCATCTAAGCGGTTGTCTGACTGACAAGATCTTGGATCAACTTCTCCGGCAACCACTCAACTATAAATGAACTATGGCTACCCTCAGCTGACCCAAGTGGATTACATACACCTGATCCGATGTGTAATAGGCCCTTAGTAGTTACTTTAATCAGTCCCACAGTTCTCTAAGGCACGGGTCTCCAATCTTGGCAACTTTAAGATTGGCTGAGGAATTGTGGGAGTTGAAGTCCACAAGTCTTAAAGTTGCCAAGATTGGAGACCCTTGCTCTAAGGATTGCCTGTTCTCACCTAACTTCCCATACTGCTCAATGAGGTCCATTTTGGAGAGGATGTTGACGTGGGGCAACTCCACATGCAGCATTGTGGCGAGGGAAGTGCAGAGAACAGAGATGAATTTGCCAGGATCTGTGCAGTAATGAGAATCTACCAGATGAACAGCAGCCAACTACAAAGAACAAACAAAAGGACAGAGAAATTAGCATGTTGTCTGAGGAATTCTGGGAGTTGAGGTCCATACGTGTTAAAAGTTGCTAAAGTTGAGAAACCCTGGTTTAATATATGCAGACAAGTCACCTATACAATAAACGGGACTCTTTGTCAGGAATGGGAATAGAAAGTTGTAGTCTTTCAGATGACCCTGAATTAAAAGCACTCCTTTTATACTGTTCACACCATGGTTTAGCAATAATTAGAGAGTACAAACTCTACATTACACCTCCTACTAAAAGAGATGTAAGTTTCTAGTAGTATTTCATGTGAAGTGAAAATAAAGTATAAGGAAGATTTTCGAATTGAAACTGAAGTGTAGAACCTGAAAGCCTCCTGGACTCTGGTGATAACACAAATTAACACATTAAATTAGACATATCAATAGCATCATCGATGGACAATAGAGACCGACAGTTAAATACAGGCTAGCAAATCGACCTTCAGGTTTCTCTTTCTTTTTGCTGCCATCTAGTGGTTGTCTGGATTTTTAAAGTCCAGATCAGCTCTCTAATTGAATACATCTTCTTTTCAAGCTCAGGCAATTTCCATCAAACATTAAAAGGTAAAGGTTCCCCTCACACATATGTGCTAGTCGTTCCCGACTCTAGGGGGCGATGCTCATCTCCGTTTCAAAGCCGAAGAGCCAGCGCTGTCCGAAGATGTCTCCATGGTCATGTGGCCGGCATGACTAAATGCCAAAGGCGCACGGAACGCTGTTACCTTCCCACCAAAGGTGGTCCCTATTTTTTCTACTTGCATTTTTTACGTGCTTTCGAACTGCTAGGTTGGCAGAAGCTGGGACAAGGAACGGGAGCTCATACGCGATACTAGGGATTCTAACTGCTGACCTTTCAATCAACAAGCTCAGCATCTTAGCCACTGAGCCACCACGTCCCTCTTACCAAACATTACAAACACATAAAATGCACCATATTTTACAACAGCTTCATGGTTTTGTCACTGGGAACTAGTTTGAAAAGGCAGCTGTTCTCACATACAGTCGCTGTGAATTGGGACAGACTGAGGTTGAGGTTTGGCCTTCAGGAATGCTCTCGCTTCCTCTGGACCAGGGGTCTCCAACCTTGGCAACTTGAAGTCCACCAGGCTTAAAGTTGCCAGGCTTGGAGACCCCTGTTCTGGACCAAACATACCCTGAAATTCCACTTAGCAAGTTGAGCGAAGATGTTTCTCAAAGAACTATGATGGGTGCAGAGCTCCACTTGTCCGGGGCAATCAAATAAGAAATAATGTCCTTTCAGTTGGTCCAGTTTCTCCTGTAGCCAGTCAAAATTTGCCTCTAGGTACTCCATGCAGTAAATTAAGCCACCGTTGGGGCCAAGTTTCAAATTCTCCATCACATCAGCCAAGGTGATCAGTTCAGAGATATCCACAGCACACTGGAATGGAATCCCTTCATTGGCTGGGTCCAGATTCACCACAGCTACCTTGCGCCCAATTGCAGAGAGGAATTCCTGCATGCCATGACAATAGGTGGTTTTCCCGGAACCGGGAGGCCCAATCACTACCTGCCCGAAGGCTAGCGATGGCTGCTTGTCATTTTTTGACATGCTGCAAAAGGTTTCTTTCTCCTAAAAAACAAGACACCAAAAAGAATAAGACCAGTTAGGCAGGGATGAGCCCATGCTGTTTAGACCCGTTGCTATCCACATGAAATAAAAACAATTCACAGCATGCATAACAAACACGCTTGTATGATAAACTCAGTGGTGAAATCCAAATTTTTTTACTACCAGTTCTGTGGGCGTGGCTTGGTGGGCATGGCATGGCAGGGGAAGGATACTGCAAAATCCCCATTCCCGCCCCACTCCTGGGGGAAGGATATTGCAAAATCTCTATTCCCACCCCACTCTGGGGCCAGCCAGAAGTGGTATTTGCCGGTTCTCCGAACTGCTCAAAATTTCCGCTACCGGTTCTCCAGAACCTGCCAGAACCTGCTGGATTTCACCCCTGAATAAACTCATATTACATTCCCACATTACGAAACCTTTTGCAAAAAAATAAAAAAAAAGAGTGGATTGGAGAGAGCCGGGAAGGGCAAGAGCTTCGGCCCGCTTTTTGCAGAGGAAGAATATAATAGGTTGAATATTAATTTGAAGAATATGTGGGTGCATAAACGCACCAGTGTGCCTAACCGTCCCTGTCCTAATGTCCCCATTTATTCGTATCCTTATCCTGTATTCATAATTATGTTTATATTTATATCTATAATCTTATATTTATTTATTTATTTATTTATTTGGTTTGATTTATATGCCGCCCTTCTCCGGAGACTCAGGGCGGCTTACAATGCGTTAAGCAATAGCCTTCATACTTTTGTATATACCTGCTTAGTAGGGCTTTCGGGTCCCCCCAAGCGGTGTTCTTCTTTTATACAAAGTCAGCTTATTGCCCCCACAAACCGGGTCCTCATTTTACCTACCTTCGAAAGGATGGAAGGCTGAGTCAACCTTGAGCCTGGTGAGATTTGAACTTGCAGTAATTGCAGGCAGCTGGTGTTACTTTAACAGTGCTTTAGTCAGCTGCGCCACCAAGACTCTTATACGTGTTTGACAAATAAATAATAATAAAAAAAGAAACCGCTTCTAAATCACCCTTCGGCTCAATGCGCCGCGCCGGGCTTAGAAGAAGAAAAGCGGGACTCGCTGCAACCGGGGGAAACGCCACGCCATGCAGATTGGAGGCGGACGGTGCAAAAGCCCTCCCGGTCCCAGTCCTCCTCCGTCAGCAGATCCGCCTGGCGACCGCTTGGGATCCGCGTATCCTAAAGCCCCATAAAGGATTCACCTGGGATTCCCCTCCTGGTTCCTTCTACCGGCCGCTTTCACTCATTACGCAGGCAGACGATCTCCTCCAGGCATGAAAGAGGGCTTGTCTGCACTTTCTTTCTTCTACAGTACAACCGCAAAAGCTGCCATTGGCTTGCTGCCGCCGCTCTATCTCGGGCTACCTCGATGGTAAGTGGCGTCTAACCAGGCAGGAAACCGGAAGGCGTGATGTAGTTATTTCAGAGGTCTTCAAACTTGGCTGCTTTAAGATTTGTGGACTATGCTGGCTGAAGAATTCTGGGAGTTGAAGTCCACAAGTCTTAAAGCAGCCAAATTTGAAGACCTCTGAGTTATTGTATAACTGTATAAGCGAAAGGCCGGCCGGCGCCCCCTGCAGGATGGGATGTGCTGAGATGTGGCCAAGGAATGAAGACCGTCGTGTTTTTTTTTTGTTCGCTAAGCGCTCTCTAGCGGTGGGCCAAGGGAATAGCAACGACCAGACAAGAAGGAACACGGTAATAAAAACGAAGGAATGACAAGTTGAAGCTACTGCAGCAAGTCACAAAAGGAAGAAGTGTGTTGGTAGTTTGCCACAGCAATAATGGTTTAAAACAGTGTTTCTCAACCTTGGCGACTTTAAAGATGGGCAGATCAGTTGGTTGGAGAATTCTGGGAGTTGATGTCCACTCATTTTAAAGTCACCCAAGTTGAAAAACACTGGGCTAAACAATTATTATATTGCAATTATAGTAATCATTTCCTATCAGTTTTGTTTTGTGGTTAGGTTGCTGGTTTTCTATGCTTTAATGTTATGTCATTAACTGTAAAGCAGTCAGGTCCTTTGACTGTCCCTGCCCTACCCTGCCCATGGGACATCAATCAAAAATTAAAAATCAAATGTAAATAAGTGTACGCCATGTACCCAATATTATTTATTTATTTATTATTATTATTATTATTATTATTATTATTATTATTATTATTATTATTATTATTATTTATTGGCCAAGTGTGATTGGACACACAAGGAATTTGTCTTGGTGCATATGTTCTCAGTGGACATAAAAGATACGTTCATCAAGAAGGTACAACACTTAATTGTACCCTACGACTATCATTAAGTGTTTACCTTATGACTCTTGATGAACCTATCTTTTCTTTTATGTACACTGAGAGCATATGCACCAAAGTCAAATTCCTTGTGTGTCCAATCACACTTGGCCAATAAAAGAAAAATTGTATTGCTTTTATTTTGAAGGCAATTTTTTTTCCAATTTATGTATATGCATGGGTACATGCCTATGCACCTTCAAAGCCCTACTGGTTTGGCCCTTGACAACAGCCCCAGTTTCTCATGTGGCCTCTTGGAAAAATTAATTGTCCACCCCTGGGCTAGAGAGACAGAATGTAAGAGTAGCATTGCTAAGTAAAAACATAGAAACAACCTATATCCTTTTGATTTTACTTCTGTGTTGTATCTTTTAAAATTTTGCTGGTCATTAACCAAATAAACATTGCTGTTAATATATAATTGCTAGAGTTCAATCTTGTTGGTCAAGTTTACTCCTCTTTTAGTCAGAATATAACCATTGCTCTTTAATTACACCATACGCTCGGCCAAATACCCTTCACTGCAAAAAAAAAAGGCGTATGCAGGACACACCTTAAATCAAGGATGAAAATGAAGATTTCATATAGACTGATTACAGGTTAGAGTTATGTGAACTGTAGACATGCAGAGGTGGGATCAACAATTACCCTTCAATTAATTTTATAGTAAAGTACCAAGAAGCAGAACCAGGTAATTTTTCTTTTAATATAAATAATTAAAACCTGCTCTGGCTTTGCTATAATACATGTTTTGTTTAATAATAGACAGTAATAATAGAAATTGTATATTAAAAAATTGACCATTGAAAAAGCTGACAGAATCTGAAAGTCCTTCCTTCCTAGCCAATCCTTCATGTAGAACTGGAATTCTTCTGAATGCCGTGCCTGGCATGGACAAAAGACACCTCTTGCCGGTACTTCATACTGATTGGCAGCTGACGCCGAAGAAGCTGATCTTCTGAGTCCACAGGATGAGGGTCATCGTAAATGGTAGAAATGAGGCCGTAGCCGTCCCTACGTGGATTCTTGGGTTTGGTGAAAGTCGGGAGTTTCTCACCATGATACCTAAAGAAGAGCAGAGAATGAGTCGGTCTTCAGCGACAAAGCAGAGATATTCTGCTTTCAGCTCTGTACAATATAAAAAGTATATTAGAGGGGGAAAAAATCCCAAATCTAGCAAATAAAAAGGAATACAACTGATGCAATTCTTTTGTGAGCCTCGCAAATATTTTATAGGGCTGCTGTTCTGAAATCTGGCAGAAACGCTTTTGCTTATTACTGTGTTTCCCCGAAAATAAGACCTTGTCTTGTATAAGCACTTGGCCTTATTGCCATATGCTCAAAAACTCGATTGGGCTTATAATTAGGGGATATCTTATTTTGGGGAAAACAGGGTAGTATGCATATACAGTATGTTTAGTGTGTGAATATTTTCAGTAATTGATGTGAAGAGACAAGGATACTTGTAAGTTTCAATTAGGCATATTTGGGAGAGAAGAAAAACTCATACAAACTCAATTTACAACCACTACAAGAATGATTAAAAGGTCCATGGAAATAGCCATTTCAAATATTAAAGCATCTTTGGTGCCAACAGTTAAAACATCCACACACACAAAAAAAGCCAATAATAAGACATTCACAGTATAAAGACTTTCATCCTAACAGCACATACCAAACTATGGTATCTGAATCACACGGACAACAATCACAACCAAAGGGACAGTCATCCATCAAAAGTCCTATAGAATATAGTTTTGAGATTAACAAACTTCCAGAAAGCCTGCAGTGTGCTGGCCAATCTAATATTATGAATTATTTCACATTGTTGGGATCATAATGGAGAAACAGCATCTTCATCTTCAACTTCCTTCACTTTACCGTAGTGAGGCGTCTCTCCTTGGAGGCTTTTCTTCTTGGCCAGTCCTTCATGGGGCTGAAGGAGGAGGATCTGAAGATATCTTAATGCCAAGCTACCCAGGGTTTTATAGGTCAACTTTTTATTCATCTTAGTTTGTATTAGTTTTCATATTTACTGAAATTATTTTCAATAAAATCTCTCTATATAAAAATGGCTAGGTGTGTGTACGTTATGTTCCAGCATAACTCTGGAACGTCTCGAGCAATTTCAACCAAATTTGGTACACAGATGACTTACTCTCTGGAAAAAAATACTGTGGGGGTAAGACACTCCTAACACCTCTTGGGGTGCGTGTTCTGTTAACAGCCTGTACTGCCTTAAAATGGCTTCTACTGTACTGCCTTAAAATGGCTTCTACTGTGCAGCACAGTGGAGTTGCCATGGTAATGATTTCACAGTACTCCACAAGGGGGCTCCCTCTGGTAAGGGGGAAAATCCAACATTAGAAGTTACGTTTGGTCCTGACATTTTCAACAAGGCTTTGATTATTCCTGAGGACAAATGTATGGCCATGATCAATAAAACATTACTGCAACTCGGCCTGCTTGCACCACTACGAGACCAACACGACGTACTTCACGCAGATTACATACGAGAAAAGAACTACGTCGAACAACTTAGTGCATATATCACACTAGCTGCACTTACTTTGAAAGAGACCCGTATCACTTACCCCAAACCTCTCTTGCATCGGGGATTCCGTCCCTCATTGTCCAAGGCTTCAGCCATTCCTGAACTGCTGCTTCCCAAGCCAAGACCTTCGCTCCAGCCCTGTCTTTCCATCACTTTTCGGCCAATGCCCTGGCACAGAAAGAAAATCAGTTCTAAAGCAACAAAGCACTGACGCCAGAATAAAGTGAGGAACCAGGTTTTTTAATTAAAGAAACAGTGTCCTCATCCTCAGAAGCATATAGGCAGTTCTCAGCTTACGACCACAATTGAGCCCAAAATTTCCATTGCTCAATTTAGTAAATTCTGCTCCATTTTATGGAAACACTGGTTAAGCAAATCATTGCCGTTGTTAAGTGAACAATGTGGTCATTACGCATATCTGGCTTTTCCCATTGAGTTTGCTGGTCAGAAACTAGCTTGGGAAGGCTACAAATGGTAATCAGATGACCCCGGAACAGTGCAACTGTCATAAATACGTGCCAGGTGCCCAAATTCTGATTGTGTGACCATGGGGATGCTTCAGTGGTTGTAAGTGTGAAAATCAGTCATAAGTCACTTTTTTTCATTACTGTTGTAACTTCAAATGGTCACCAAACTAATGGCTCTATGTTGAACCATTAGTTTGGTTCAATATACAGTAGTGGCCAAAATTGTGGAAACCTTTTGGAAAAAGTGTATTTTTGATGGCTAATAACTCCCCCCCCCTTTTTTTTTTTGGAGTTTCAAGATAGTCATATTCCACTGCTGGAATGGCCTGGGAATAGTCCAGACCTTCACCCAATTGAAAATCTATGAGCCGACTAAAGAAAGGTGTTAGTCAGAAGCAACCCAGCAATAAAACCCAGTTAATAGAAACAATCATTCAATCTTGGTTTCACATTATAACAGCTGCAGAACTAAAAGACTTGGTTCACTCCATGGGAAGACATAGTAAGGCCGTAATTCATGCTAAAGGTTACTCAGCTAAGCATTAACTGACATGGTGGTAATTATATCTCATTTTTCCTATGGTGATCATTTTTGTATATCTTGTTTTTTCTGTGTTTCACTTTTCTTCTTTATACTATAACTGCTATTCTAATAGCAAATCCTTCATAAAAGTTACTGCATTACATTCTTGATTAAATTATCTTTCCATTGATGTATAATTTTATGGTACTACTGAAAAAAAAGTGGTGTTATTAGCTAGTTTTAGGAAAATACACTTTCCCCAAAAGGTTTCCAAAATTTTGGCCACTACTGCAGTTGGGGGTGGCTTTAGCATCATACAATAGCTGTCATTCTCCTTGCCTC